GAACTTTGGACTAGAAAAGTGGTATAATGCTGTAAGCAGTTTGTTGTAGTAGGATCCTAGGCTGTAGTGCCGAGAATACCAAGGGTTGTTGAGGCCTTGCTCAGGAATTTCTAGAGGGAAGCAAGGATTGTAACAGCAACTGGACTAGAGGCTGTTCTTGAGTGTTTTGGCAAAGAATCTGGCTAACTTCTTTCCTTGTCTTGAGAACTTATTAGAAGCTAAATTAAAAGCTTCTTAATTAGGGTAACAGGCTAATTCTTTGGTGGATGAAATTTGAAAAACTGCTCAATGTTGATTCTGTAGAATGGTTATTATTAATTATGGGGCCCAGGGCAGCTTAGCCATACAGCTTCCATGACAGGCTTAGTAAAAACAAGCCAGGAAGTAGGCCTGAGTTTTGGTTTACTGGCAGGGAACACTCGATTCCAGGAAAAACCACAAACTGGCACCACCAGGAACGGGCCAGTCAACATCCAAGGGGAAATGTTCCAAAGGAAATATCTAACATTCCAACCATCATAGATATCACCAGATGTCCCTTAGCCCAGCATGCACCTATCTCCTTTCACCAAGACACCCTTAGATGAATGTCAGCCAATCAGGGATTCTGAACCATAGAAGTCCCCTCACCCCAACCTCTGTTAGGATAAAAACCTCCAAGGTTTTCTGACTGTACTGCTGCATCAGACACATGGAGGGTCCACGCTCAGGCTTGAATAAAGGCTCTTTGCTTTTGCATAGGGATTTGGCCTCCTTGGTAGTCTTTGGGGGACTCTGCTATCTGGGCATAACAATAATGGAAGGTTCTGTACCCCAATATTAAGCCTCTCCACTGACACAGTAATCCAAATCAAACCAAATTAAAATTTTTAAAGTCCAGGTTTGTGGGTAAAATGCTCCTGGATGATTTTTCAGCCCCCAGAGAGGAGACCAAAAAAACGACATGGTTGGTGTCTAAGGGACAGTTTAAATACCCTGTAGTTGCGGTCTTGAGCATTTCTGGGGGATGCTCGGCAGGTTTTCTGAGACAGAAGGGGGCAGTATTTGGAGAGAGAGAAATGGGGGAGGGGCACTGAGGTGAAGCTGCCATCTGAACAGATGATGCTTGTAGAGGCCTACAATGAAACAGAGCAATTGGGACAGAAAGAAAAACAAAATATACAGTTGGAACACTAAGAAACTTAGCGATGCCACCTAGGTCTGCCGAGAGAGCGACTACAACTGTTAAAGGAGATGAGGCCTGCTCTTTCCTGGACTAAGGAAAAACGGTGCCTTTAGGGCCAAACCCTATACAGCCAAGCCTCTAACTTTCTAAAAAGAGAGCCCAGGACATAATTTTGCTCCTAGAAAGCCAACACCAGACAGCAGCTGTTGGCAGTGTGACTCAGGGGAGGTAAGAGTCTCTCCAGATGGCACCAGAACCAGACGGTGTGGTGCTGGCTTTAGATACGGAGGATGCCACACTGTACAATTGTGCACCCTTCCTTCATGACTCCAGAGAGCCACCGAGGCTAGATAACATGACGGGGAGGCGGAGACATGAAATGGCCATGAAAGCCATAAAATGAAGCTGTAAAAATGAAGCCTGGGCTTCAGACCCCAAGATGGTGGATACAGCAGAGATGTGAGACATATGCCAAGGAGAGCTGCATACCAGGAGTAGAACTAGCCTAAGGGGGGGGGGCAGGGGATGAGGGAGAGGGAGAGGAAACACGCAGGCAGCAAAGATAGAGGCCTGAACCATTTAAGTCCTTTGGAACTAAAGCCCCAGATGCTGCTTAGGTGGAAGCCCCTCCCCCATGTTTCCAGACCCTGTCCCCTTTGAGAAAGGCCACCAAGTGGTGGCTCTTCCCCCATAACTGCCCAAGACCATGCCTATAAGGTATTTAAGACGTGGTCTCTAGACCTGCTCCCTCCACCCCCTGATCACCCAGGAGTTACTTGGCTCTCTTACTAAACCCGGTTTTATTAATTCGGCTGGATTTGGCTTATTGCGTCATCAGAGGAACCCACAACAGGACATGGACCTGCAGGATTCGGTGTTTGCCTTGCTAGGTTCCCATTTCGCTTTGATTCAGTATTTCCTTACTATACCTGATACCTCCCTTTTGTAAAGGAAATGTATATACTGTCTATTGCATGTGGGAAGTATATAATTCATATTTTATTTTTAAAGGGGGTTAAAATTAACTCTTTTAATCAGGAAGATACTTTGGAGTTTTAAGCACCATTGGGACTGCTAAAGACTATGAGGATTTTTGATGCTGGACTTTTTTTTAAAATTTACATTAGAAACAAGGTTGCTTCACATGTCAATCCCAGGTCCCTCTCCCTCTCTTCCTCCCATGCCCTCCCACCCATCCTCTCAGCACTCCCAACCCCCACTCCGTTTCCCAGGGAGGGTGAGGCCCTTCATGGGGGTATCCATAGTCTGTCATTTCATCCAGGGCAGGGTCTAGGCCCTCCCCCAAGGGTCCAAGCTAAGAGAGCATCTCTTATTGTGGGATAGGCATCCAAAGTCTATTTGTATGCCAGGGATAAATACTGGCCCCATAGATTACCTAGGCCTCCTCATTGACACCCATATTCAGGGGGTCTGGATCAGTCCCATGCTAGATTCCCAGCCATAAGTCTGGGGTTAAAGAGCTTCCCCACTTGTTCAGGCCCGCTGTTTCTGTGGGTTAAACCAGGCCAGTCTTAACCCCTTTGCTCATCAGTCCTCCCTCTCTGTTACTGGCTTTCTTGAGTTCAGCTCAGTGCTTAGCCATGGCTGTCTGCCTCTTCTTCCATCAGCCATTGGTTGAAGGTTCTGTTTCCCAGACTCTCTGGCCATGGGACTGTAGGCTGGCACTCCCCAGCCTACATATACTCTCCATATATGAGAGAGTACGTGCCATGTTTCTCTTTTTGTGACTGGGTGACCTCACTCAGGATGATGTTGGACTTTATACATGAATTTTGACATATGATATGGCGTGAGGCTATGGGGGACTGGGAGTGGAAGGTGGTAGCTTGAATACATTTCCCCTATAGACTTGACTCTGAACACTTGATTCTCAGTTGCAGGCACTGTTGTGGCATTTGAATTCACTGGGAAAGACCGAAGACAGAATTAGTTCAAATTGAGATTAAATGGATTTATTCTTACTGCTGTAGGGTCTGAGGAAACACTAAAGGAAGACTCCAGACTCAAACAGTATGCAAGGACAGAGTGTTTAATATTCCAGCATGTATGTGGGGTCAACACCTATACAGAATGGCACTGGCCCTGAGAGTGGCAGGCTGGCTCCTTTTAAACACAGCTAAAGGAGTTGCAGGGGCAGCCACATAATTGCTTAAGCAGGCCGCAGTTACCTTAGCATGTTTCTAACTGGCTGAGGTTAGGCAAGGGGGCTGCTGGGTTTGTCCTCCAGATACTGTGAAGCTGTGTTTGTTCTCTCCCTCGACCCTGAATGTAAGGGTATGGTGGATAAATGGCCCTCTGTTGGAAAAGATACCTGTCTTGCCCTTCTCAGATAGCTGCATCTTAAGTCAGTTGTAAAAAGTTGGAGAGTTTAACCCCTTCACTGTTAGCAAAAGGACAGCAGCCTTAGAGTCAAACACCATGCCATGCTGAAGGTGATAAAGAAATGGTTTTTAAAAGTGGATACTAAAGGTGTACATTGAAATTTTCTATGGAATCCACAGCTGGGCAGGAGAATTGTTTCACTCCCCAAGTTGTTTCTTTTTCCCATTGTATAGTAGTTGTGTAGGAAGGAAAAGACCATTCATCCCAGTCTCACAACAATAAGGGAGTTTACAAAAGCAGACAGCAGATAGTTAATACCGCACACCAGGAACACCATTATCCTATTTTTATCTAACCTGAAGGCAGCTAGATCTCACAGACATCCCAGGGCAAAGGGCAATGGCCCCAAAGGGATGCCTGATACCATATTAAGTTTATTTAGCCATCACAGAGGAGTTGTGTGTCAATTATTACACAGGTCTGAGCACTCTGGTGGGAGTGTCACTAATCAGTTGGGAGAGAGCAGGCAGTGTCATCAGATTAGGGCTGCTGTCACACCCCACGGCCCTGTCGTAGGAGGGTTAGGAAATACGATCTTGCTGGAGGAAGTATGTCACTGGAGGTGAGCTTTGAGATTGTATAGCCTCATCCTCGTTCCAGTTGGTCCTCTCTGCTTTGAGTTGTGGTTGAGATGTGAGGTCTCGGCTTCCTGCTTCTGCTGTCTTGTCTGCTCTTTGCTGCTGTACTTCCCTCCATGATAGACTGATTGCTGAAACTGTCATCCCAGATTAATTTTCTTACAAATTGCTATTCCTGGTGTTTAGTCACAACCACTAAAAACAACCACTATAACGCCATTCTTGTGATACTTTGGCAAAGAATCTGACCACCTTCTGCCTGTGTCCTTAGAACTTTCTTGAGACTGAATTAAAAATATTGGACTAAATAAAGAGATTTCAATACTGAAGAACATTGAAACTGTGCCACTATTATTGCTGATTTCCCTTGTGCAGCTCTATAATGAAAACAAGTGGCAAAAAGAAATTCAAAACACAGAGACTGGGTAGAAGAAGAGCAGCTAGGGAGCTTCATGTTGTAGGAAGGCATGTGCTGAAGCCAGGTTGTGATGTTAAGGTCAGCATACTTAGGAGAGGGTCCTCAGCTGAGCATCCAACTTGTGGCAGGAAAAGGCCTCAAGAGTTCTGCTCCTGGAAAGCAATACTACACCAAAGCACGTCAGATTCAGGAGTGAGGGTCTATCCCAAGTTGGCAGTCAAACTTGGCAATGTGTTCCACATGGCTTTTGAAGCATGAAAAAATGCAAGAGTGATGAGTGTTATGGAGTTTCCTTTAGTTTCAGAGAGGCTATGGGGCCAATGGGTGACAGGGCAAGTCCTGTGATTTATTGAACACTGGAGTAAACCTGAAAAGCCTGAACATATATGGTAGCAATAAACCCACTTGTCTTAATAATTTTGCTTAATTTTTCAAGGCAAATGCAATAGGCCGGAGTGCTAAAACTGTCCGGGAATTTCTAGAAAAGAATTACACAGAAGATGCTATTTCTAATGACAATGAAGCTATCAAGCTAGCTATAAAAGCTTTGCTAGAAGTAAGTAACCTTGTAAGGTATGTTGTGAGAATATGCTTTTGGTTTCCTTATCTTGTTTTGTTCATTAGATACACAGTTTTCAGGAGTAGGTTGTTGATGTTTATGTATCGTGTTGAAGAATCAAATAGGGCCACACACACATACCGGGCACACACTCTCCTACTGAGCTGTACTCGAGCCAGCTGAAGAAGTTCTGATGTGTCCTTGGTCTATTCTAGGTTGTCCAGTCTGGTGGAAAGAACATTGAACTGGCTATCATAAGAAGAGATCAACCTTTGAAGGTAAGTTATTGATCAAAGTAGAAAATATTACTAGCATAGAGTGATAGACGTTAAAGTGCTGTTGGGACCTATGAATTGCCTGCTATTGTAAGCATGATTCATCAATTGACAGCACCAATACAACGCCAAACAGTGATTTCTGTTTGGGCGGAGTTGCTAATCTCTTGCTTATTGCAAGCAGGTGCTTACTTCCTGTCTTTGTGAAGACTTAGAGAGGATGAGAGCTCCATACAGATCTGCCCATTTAGTATGCATGCCTGTGAGCAGGAACCCTTACAGTCTGCCCACCCAGAGAGCAGCTGGTTTTCTTGTTCCCTCCACTATTTAAGAGAACCTCTACTCTTTCTGACCACTGCTTTTTTTTTACTCCTTGTTCTGAGGGTCTAACCCAAGGCTTGTGCATGGTAAGTGCTGTACCCCTGAGCTACACACCTCAGCCTTGTGTACTGTCTTTTTATCTGTTGTTTCTATGTTTCACTTGAAAATGTCTTGAGCCTCCTTCACATTTTAATTTTAATCCCCAGTATCATAACCTTTTCATGTTTCTTGGTAGCAGTTCTAGTATTGCTTATATGTCTTTGTTGAGCCATTATGAGTTACACTCAGAACGTGTCAGATTACTATGCTGGAGGACTCAGTGGCTAAAGAGCACTTGTTACGTGCTTTCCTGTTGTCCCTGAGGCAGAATTGTTAGCAGTCCAGTTTGCCAATAGTTCTCCATACAGAATGCACAAAACCTCCAAAAAACATGGGAAATTGTCCTAAAATATGCTTAGAAGATTGATTTTATATATGCTTTCCTTTGGGTTTAAGGAAGGTATTTTCAGAAGACATTTGTGCCAAATTCAGTGCTGTGTAGAACGAGGACGTGTGTTTTATTACTTTTTCAGCAGATGGGACAAGATGATAGGACAGCAGCAAAATTTCAATAAATAAGAGGATGGGACAGGACCTTGGAGTCTTCCCCCTTGCATAGCCCCACAGAAAAAACAGAGTGCAAACACAGGCTATGGAGATGGGTAGTGGGTTCATCTTTCACCTTTTCTGAGAAGGCTTTTGGTGCAGATACACCAAGATCAGAGGGGTCCTGAAGCCACAAAAATCAAGATTGTTTCTTTAGTTATGTCACCTGCATACCGTCTGGGATGCACATGCATACACAAGTTATACACGTATTCTTGATGAGTGGAAGAATGGTACATTTACTGGAAGAAAAGTTATAGTACAGTTCCATATAATGTTTCAGGATGGGCTGCATAGTGAGCAGAGCACTTTGAACCTAGTAGACCTGCTTTAAAATTTTGAGGTGTGCCTGGTAGTGTGGTGGCACACACCTTTAAACCCAGCACTCAGGAGGCAGAGGCAGGCAGATGTTTGTGAGTTTGAGGCCAACCCGGTCTACAGAGCTAGTTCCAGGACATCCAGAGTTATACAAGAAACCCTGTCTTGAAAAACCAAACCATGGCCGGGTGTTGGTGGCGCACGTCTTTAATCCCAGCACTTGGGAGGCAGAGACGGGTGGATCTCTGTGAGTTCGAGGCTAGCCTGGTCTACAAAGCGAGTTCCAGGACAGCTTCCAAGACAATACAGAGAAACCCTGTCTCGAAAAACCAAAAAAAAAAAAAAAGAAAAAGAAAAAGAAAAACCAAACAAATAAAAAACCTCCAGAAATTTGGAGTGTCATTCACAGAATGACATTGAACAAGTTGTCCCCATCGTTAGTTTTCAGTTTCCCTATATACAAAATGAGGCTTGTCATTACTCTATCCAAGCATTGTTGTATAGCCTAGCATGCCTGTCATATTAGCACCAGGGAGGCCAAAGCAGAGGATCACAGGTTCCAGGTAAGCCGTGGCTGTATAGCAAGATCTTTTACCTCAGAGAAGCATGGGGCAGGCATAGTTTTAATCCCTGAACTCAGAAGGCAGAGGCAGGCAGATGTCTGAGTTCAAGGGCAGCCTGGTTTATGTAGTGAGTTCTAGACCAGTTAGTGAGACCCTGACTCAAACAACAACAACAACAAAAACCCTACTGGTCAATGAAATAGCATGGGGCAGTAGTGTGCTAGTCAGTAGATTCTCACTGAATGGCGCTCTTTTCAATGAGTGCTCTTAAACAAAAGGGAAAGATAGAATATGTCTACATATGTGTTCTCACACCAAGGAAGAAAATACCATTGTTTGGTTCTTGACCCCATTGAGCCAGTCTTCTGTAATGCCCAGATAAAGCAGCAAGACCCAAGCAAAACTATAAACCAAAAACACAGTTAATATGGGGTAAAAAGGAATAATAGTAAAGAAAAGGAAAAAATGTATTTACCAAAAAAAAAAAAAAAAACCTCCACAGAATATTTCTTACAAGCAATGGCAACGGTTTTTAAAGGTGGAATTCAGAAGGATAGCCTTAACAAAATTGAAAGAAACCTTGGTACTGGCATAAAGATTAATGATGGTAAGCACGTTCTAGAAGTCGTGGACATGCTGGAAGAAGGTTATAACTGCCACCATTGGAGGTGAGGCAAGGGTTAGTCAGAGCCAAGTAAGAGAGCTGCAGAGAGAAGTGCCTCACAGACTCTCCTCCCCCACAGCAGGGTGTCAGTTACATCCCTTAGACTCCTTTATGAAGGACCAGGTATGGAACACTTAGCTCTCCTGGCCTGGATCATGTATGTTCCTAGAACAAGCTGTTTATTCCTTAATTGGAGACTATAAACTTACTGTTAGCTTGTGTTAGTTGGGGAGGCTTTAACAATTATTATAGACTCAGTGGCTTAAGCAACATTCTCTCAGTCCTGAAATTCTGAGATCAAATGCCAGCATAGTCCCCTTATAGTAAGTACTTTCCTGTCATGTCCTCACAGATGTGTGTATACAAATTCGCTCACACTGTCTGTCTGTCCTCCCGGTACCCCATAATCTGGGCTGGAACTCCTCTCTTACTTCCTCACATATACCCTAGCAACACCAGGTTGGCACCAAATGCCCAAAATACATGATCCTGTGGGAACTTTCACACTGTAACCATAGCAGTGGTTACACTATGTATAAGCAGCACACAGTAGGATGACGATTTGCTCAGACACAAGCCTTGCATCTGAGTGTTGCAGAGTGGTGGTGCATGGACAGGAAGTCTTATTGAAATGTCTCTCTCTCTGCCCTGTGGTGATACTGGATGTCACAGACCTGCTTTGACCTCATTAGTACAAATGCATTGCTTTGTATTTTTGGAGGCATTTTGTTGCATTTCTGAAGTTATACAATACAAAGCTATATACAGAGAGAAAATACTCACATATGGGTATAATTGAAAAATATTTGATGTTTTCTTTTTTCAGATGTTTAGTGCCAAAGAAATTGAATTGCAGGTAACTGAAATAGAAAAAGAAAAGGAGGAAGTAGAGAAGAAAAAATCAAAGAAGTCAACCTAGTTCTCAGGCTGAGCTCTGGGAGCTCCAGTTTTGTGCGGATTAGAATTTCTTCCTGAGGTTTTGGAAGGAGCAAATGAGTTGGAACCAACCACTGAGTTTTTCTATGTTCATCTTCAAGAGTGTCAGGTTTGACGTTGTCTTTAAAATTCCTCACTCTCACACAAGCCTGAGACTGTCCTGTGAAGCACGCCCAGTATGATGCTTTTCCTCATACAAGCACAGTCTAGAAAGGAAGACGATTTTTAAAGTTGGTAATTTTTTGAAGTTTGTGTCTTCTTCACTGTTAGCTAAGGAGCTCTTCATCTCAAAATAAACTGACTACTGTACTGAGCTGCATCCCTTGATGAATCATAAGAACATCAATGTCTTGGTGACAAAATCATATGTGCTGACTCAGGAGGCTGAGGCAGGGGGATTGCAAGTGTGACAGTGTGATAGGTGCTAAGAATATAGTGACAAGAATAAACTCAGGCCGGGCATTGGTGGCGCACGCCTTTAATCCCAGCACTCGGGAGGCAGAGGCAGGCGGATCTCTGTGAGTTCGAGACCAGCCTGGACTACCAAGCGAGTTTCAGGACAGCCTCCAAAGCCACAGAGAAACCCTGTCTCGAAAAACCAAAAAAAAAAAAAATAATAATAATAATAATAAACTCAGTTTGTTAGCTTTTATTTTTTAAGACAGGGTCTCATTTAGCACAGGCTGGCCTCAAATGCCCTGTGTAGCCAGAGGATGACCTTGAACTCCTGAGTCTCCTGTCTCCACTGCCCAAGTGATGGTACCACCATGCCCAGGGAGACTTAGTTTTTGTCCTTATTACTGTATGGTTGGAAGATGAGCATTAAACCACAATGATTTTCATTTGGGATTTGTGTCTGTCTTCTCTTCTAATTTAGAGACTCTATAGGAGCTTTAAGACTCGATTCCAGATCATATTCATCTTGTTCTTATCGTTTGCCTATGGTATGACTTAATAAATGCTTGTAAAGTTGTTAACTTATAGATTGACTCTTTTAAAGCTGGGCATTAGGAGAAAAGGATGGACTAATCATCCATCCAGTTACTTGTCAGGAACTCAATTTGTTAATCTCTTTGGCACATAATGGGAAGGTCCCAGAGTCAGTGAAAAATTATATACTTACACACATACATACACATATATGTATATATGCACGCACACATACAAAGTGGATTTTTAAGTCAAAACAGGCCCACTTCCAGGAGTGGGAGACATTATTATATAAAAATATGTGACCCTTCCGGGCGGTGGTGGCACACACCTTTAATCCCAGCACTCGGGAGGCAGAGGCAGGAGGATCTCTTTGAGTTCGAGGCCAGGCTGGACCGACAGCCTCCAAAACAATACAGAGAAATCCTGTCTCGTAAAAACCAAAAAAAAAAAAAAAAAAAGTGACCCTAAGGAAGCTGAAGGCACAGTGGTTTGCCTTCATATAGTATTCACCCCGTTGATACATGCTGAGCAAATAGGAAAATTGACAAGATCTGATCCTTGTCCAGAAGAGGTCATAATGCCAAATAGTTGAACTCATTCTTACAAATTTATGAATGCTAAACGTCTTATCTCCTTTACAACCTGTGACTTTTAAAAGGCTGTGTTGCTAATGGTTTTGGAATTTTAAAAAAATCTTCTATAATAAATGTAGCATAGGATGCCAGATTTTAAAAAGGAAATGAAACACTTTATGAAGAAGGGAATAAAGCAGGAAAAATGTCAGTAAGAAATGACAGTTTATTTAAAAGGTAGCAATTCTTTTCAGGGAGAAGGGGGATGCTGGGATGGAGAGGTGGCTCAGAGGTTAAGAGCACTAACTGTTCTTCCAGAGGTCTTGAGTTCAATTCCCAGCAACCACATGGTGACTCACAACCATCTATAATGAGATCTGGTGCCCTCTTCTGACATGCGGGCAGAACAGCGTATACATAACAAAATAAACAATTAAAGGTCTTATCATTTAAATATATATATATTTATGAATGAATGGGGATGCACTACAACTCTATGGAAGACTCAGAAACAAACAACTGAAAACAGCACTGTGTTTGAACACTTGGTCCTCAGCCAGTGACACTGTTTTGGAAGGTTGTGGAATTGTTGGGGGGGTCAAGCCTTGCTGGAGAAGGTCTCCCCTTTTGGAATGGCAATGTTTATTCTATGCCATTGTTTATTGGAACTATGTAACTTGGCTTTTATTGTACAGGGTGTCACAATTAAGAGATCATGAATCTTACAAGAGAGTCTGCACTTAAACCTTAGAACAGTGTTGGAACCATGTCTTAGTTAATGTTTCTATTGCTATGATGAAACACCATGACTGAAAAACACAGTTTTTGGCTGTTTTTATATGTCAACTTGACACAAGGTTGAGTCATCAGAGGGAGTCTCTGTTGAGGAAATGCCTCTCTGCGATGCAGCCGTAAGGCATTTTCTCATATAGTGATCAATGTGGGAGGGACCAGTCCACTGTGCCATCCCTGGGCTGCTGGTACTGGGTTCTTTAAGCAAGCAGACTGTGCAAGCCATGGGAAGCAGGCCGGTAAGCAGCTTCCCTCCATGGCCTCTGCATCAGTTCCTGTCTCCAGGATCCTGCCCTGCGTGAGTTCCTGTCCTGACTTCTTCAGTGATGAAAAGCAATGTTGAAGTGTAAGCCAGATAAATCTTTCCTCCCAAGTTGTTCTTTGGCCATGGTGTTTCATCCAAGCAATAGAAACCCTAAGACAGTATGGTAAGACTGTACTTGCATTGCCCCATCCTAATAGTATTCAGCTAATGTAAAATACATGTTTGTACATGCTTGCTGGCTGCATTACCCATTAGAATTCTAAGTTCTGTGTCATTTTATATACTGGTAGATGGCCAGTACCTAGTACATAAGGAGATACTTAGTAAAACCTCAGTGAATACTACACACCCATTCTTTTAGATTAAAACTTGAAAATCCAGAAGCAGATGCCTGTTCTTTCCAGTCGTTTTGATTAAAAAGTAATGTAGCTGGGTGTGAGAATGCACATTCCTGTACTCCAGAGGCAGAAGCAGGTGGATATTTCTGAGTTCAAAGTCAGCTTGGTTTACAAAGCTAGCATCAAGACAACCATGGCTACATAGTGAGACACACTGTCTCAAAACAAACAACAACAAAAAGATAAGTAAAATCACTGATTAAAATTTTTTTACTCATTGTAGCTTAAGACCGTATTAATAATGAGAAAAACAATGGTAAAACACTTTCACATGTTCTCCAAATGATAAGTATGATGGTCAAGCTTGATTGCCATCTTAACTGGACCAAGCAACACCAAGCAAAACATTTTTATCAGAGTCTTAGAGGGTGTTTGTCAGTGTGAGTGGCACCATCCACTAGGCTGGGAATCTGGATGGAACCGTCACATGCCAGGTCCCATTTCTGAGCAAGGGCTTCTGTTGCCTGTGGAATCATACACCATCTTCAGCCTCCGTTATAGGCTAACACCAACAATGTAGAGCTTCTTAATTCAGTCTTGGACTGTGGCTGTATCGTTTGTCGTTCCCATACCCCCCAGCTTTTTATATTTTATGTGTTGTATTTTCCTACATAGCTGTGTATATATATTTGTGCCTGGTGCCAGTGGAGGTCACAGAGGGCCTAAGATCCCCCTAGAATTAGAGGTACAGATGTCTATGGGTGTTGGGAACCCAAATCAGGTCCTTTATAAGAGCAGTAGGTGCTGACCATATCTCTAGACCCTGGCTGCCCTTTCTGAGGCTTTCATCTTATGTTGAGCAGCTTTGACTGACTGGCTGACTGTCCAGCATGCAGACATTGTGGCTATTCAGCTTCCAATCACATAAGTCATAGTTTTGTTCCTCTATAAAATCCTTGGTGATATCTTCATATAGTGGACTATAGATCTCATCTCTGAGCTGTATATAAACAGTGGAATGATTGTACATTAACGTTTCCCATCCTGCACTAGCAGTTCAGGGACAATTCAAGGCCACCTAATCCAGGCATGGTTCTTGAATTTTGATGACTGTGCTGTTTCACTATGCCAGTTTCAATTGTGATATTTTGTTTCTACGAAAGATTCACTTGGGTGGTGTCCAATAAGAATATAGGAAATAAAGGTTGTGCTGGGTGTGGGGTGGGGTGGGGTGGAGAAGCTGTGCTCTGTGTGTGGGAGTCCGGAACTGGGAACAGCAGCATCATTTTATGTCTTAGCAAGCCCCAGATCCAGACATGAGAGCACAAGGCTTTTTAATATATATATTTAATGACTTTCATTTTGTGTGTATGTCTCTGCACCATATGTGTGGTTCTCCTGGAGTCCACAAGAAGGTGTGAAAAACTGTGAAGGCTGACAGTTGAACCTGGGGTCCTCTGGAAGAGCAGTCATGCACCTAACTAATGAGCCACCTCTCCAGCCCTGCCTTTTGGATCTTAACAATAGCACTGTTTGTAACAATAGTAGGATAGGCCACTGCCCATTCATCTGTTCTGTCTTTACTATCTGACTTTCTCAGTTTCATTTTCTTTAACTTAATGCTTCTGCCAAAACACAGTTTTATTAAAAAAATTGTTGAGTCAGTAAAAAAGATAAGACTTGTCAATTCTTGGTATAATAAATGGGAAGAACACATCACAATAAGAAGACAAGTTTGAAGAGAAGCATTTGTGTAACTGTTTGAATTCTCAGTTGGATTAAGTACTTTTTAATGAACCATTTTGTATTCAAAAGACCCACTGAAAGACAAGTTATTGTTTTCTGTCTTGAATATTTGGCAAACATTTTCTCAGAAACAACAATGATGAATTGTCTCCTCAAGGAGAACAGCTAACCTTGTTTATTAGCAATGACTAAAATTTCAAGGAAGTGTGGGTCTAGTGATGCTTGCAGGTAGTCCCAGCAGCTATCCAGGAGGCCCAGGTAGGAAGGATTCCCAAGCTCAAGGCCTATATGGACTGCACAGTGGGTACAAGGCCAGCCTAATTAACTCTGCAAGACCTGTTTGAGCAAGTAAGGGAGATGGGGGTGTACCTCCATTGGTAGAGTGCTTGCTTTGTGTGCATGAAGTCCTGGGTTTAGTCTCCAGCATTGCATTACAATAAATGGCACGGTGGCATGTTTCTATTCTTGCATCGTGCAGTGGAGGCAAGAAGACAGAAATTCAAGGTCGTCCTCAGCTACACATTTAGTTCGGGCTGGAGAGATGGCTTAGCAGTTAAGAGCATTAGTCATTCTCCCAGAGGGCCTGGGTTGGATTCACAGCACTCACTTGGTAGCTCACAACCGTCTGTAACTCCAGCTTCAGGGAATCCAATGGCACTAGGC